CCCAGCCTCACAGGAGAGTTCGTTGGAGAGACCCACAGGATCCTAGAATGCACACAAGCCCACCCACCTGGGAATCAGCACCAGAAGGGCCCAGTTTGCTTGGGGGAAGCTGCTGAAGGGACCGAGGTCTGACAGATAGCAGTATAAGCACCACTGTTCCCTCTCAGACCCCGCTCCCACATACTGAGTCACAACCCAGTGCCAAGGGTTGCCCCACCCTGGTGAACACTTAAGGCTCTGCCCCTTACTACATAACATGCGTGACAAGACCAAAAAAAAAAAGGCTCAAACACGAGAACAGATCAAAGCCCCAGAGCTAACGCTTTTAAGTGACCAAGAGATAGTCAACCTATCAGATGCACAGTTCAAAGCACTGGTAATCAGGGTACTCAGAGAATTGGTTGAATTTGCTCCCAAATTAGATGAAAAAATGAAGGCTACAATAAGTAAAATGAAGGAAAATGTACAGAAAACCAACAGTGATGGGAAGGAAACTGGGACTCAGATCAATGGAGTGGACCAGAAGGAAGAAAAAATGACCAAACAGAAAAGGAATGAAGAAACAAGAATTCAAAAAAAAATGAGGAAAGGCTTAGGAACCTCCAGGACATCTTTAAACATTCCAACATTTGAATTAGAGGGGTACCAGAAGGGGAAGAGGAACAGCAACAAATGGAAAACTTATTTGAAAACATAATGAAGGAGAACCTCCCCAGTCTGGCAAAGGAAACAGACTTCCAGGAAATCCAGGAAGCTCAGAGAGTCCCAAAGAAGTTGGACCCAAGGAGGAACACTCCAAGACACATCATAATTACATCAGCCAAGATTAAAATGAAGGAGAGAATCTTAAAAGCAGCAAGAGATAAGGAGACAGTTACCTACAAAGGAGTTCCCATCAGACTGTCAGCTGATTTCTCAAAAGAGACCTTACAGGTAAGAAGGAGCTGGAAAGAAGTATCCCAAGTCATGAAAGGCAAGGACCTACATCCAAGGTTGCTCTATCCAGCAAAGCTATCATTTAGAATGGAAGGGCAGATAAAGTGCTTCTCAGATAAGGTCAAGTTCAAGGAGTTCATCATCACCAAGCCCTTATTTTATGAAATGTTAAAGGGACTTGTCTAAGAAAAAGAAGATAAAAAACATGTATAGTAAAATGACAGCAAACTCACAATTATTAACAACCATACCTAAAACAAAAACAAAAACAAAAACAAAGGAAACAACCAGAACAGGAACAGAACCACAGAAATGAAGGTAACATGGAGGGATAGCAACAGGGGAGTGGGAGGAGGAGAGAGGGAAAAGGTACAGAGAATAACTAGCATAGATGGTGGGGAGAAAATAGACAGAGGGAAGGCAGGAATAGTATGGGAAATGTAGAAGCTAAAGAACTTAAGATACACAGACATGAACTAAAGGGGGGGAATGTGGGTGGGAGAGGGTGTGCAGGGTGGAAGGAAATGAAAGAGAGGGAAATAGGATGACTGTAATAGCATAATCAATAAAATATATTTTTTAAAAAAGAAAAAATTTTTTCAGGTGACTGAGAATTTGAAAAATGGAGTATATTGTGTAGCTACCTGGTGGTCATCGGAAAGGAGAGTGGTCCTTTTGTCGGCCCTTGTTGAGTTTTAGAAAAACAATCTATTATTTTTGGTGGCTTTTCTTCTGAGAATAAAAAATGCACTGACATAAAAAAAAAAAGCAAGATTTATGACATTTTATTCCTTAAATCTTTTTTATTATATCCCTCCAAAAATAGCTCTAAATGGCCATCAATGCAGCAATTCCAATATTTAGTGGTGCATGCCCCCCAAAACAGCTAAGTGGCTCCTGTACTCAAGCAGGCAGCCCACAAGCCAGGTTCACCCCGAACTGCAGGTGCAGCGTGTGAGCCCTGACCTCCTCTCGGTGCACAAAGAAAAACATGATTAAAATATTGTGAAGTCTGAAGTTAATTTTTCCTGGCAAGAGTGGCACAACTTTTCTAGAAACAAAGACATACACATTTATTTTTTATAGCTGTCCAGAATCTGTTTTTTAAAAAACAGCCTTTAACCGGCAATGATTAACATCAATTCTCTTCTTCCTCCCCATCCCTTGACTGAAATCTAGGCATTCTTCTAAATGCCACTGTTTCAGGGAATATCAAAGTAAATATGCAAGGTAAAAACCTACCTGCCATCCCTGGGTTAGTCTGTAAGAGAGAGAGTGATGTAGGTTTATACTGCAATAGAATAGGAGATAGCCAAGTCTCTAACTAGTGGCTCTCAGAAGCTTGGACAGAATGGATTTGGAATTCTAGCTTGAGAACAGCATTTTCCATCCCCTAAATGGAAAGGTGCTAATGAATGCTTTATGATATGTTCTTCCCACCTTCTGACATGGGCATGTATGTCTGTCCTGGGCATGTATGTCACTGTTAATGGGGAGCACCCAGATCTAACTCCATATGGGGTCCGTGTGAGGAATCACTACAGAGGGTGCTGCTCTTCATGTTCCTTCACGATGGGAGAAAGTCCCTCTTCTATCTGACAACACTGATGTTAAAACTGAGGGTCCTATGAATTTGACTAAATTTTTTTAAAAGATTTTATTTATTTATCTTTAGAGGAGAAGGGAAGGAGAGAGGGAGAGAAACATCAATGTATGGTTGCCTCTCATGCATCCTCTGCTGGGAACTGGCCTGCAACTCAGGCATGTGCCCTGACTGGGAATCAAACCGCCGTTTGGTTCACAGATCTGTGTTCAATCCACTGAGCTACACCAGCCAGGGCCAAACTTGATTAAATTTAGTTTTAAGTCCTAACTCTAGAAGTCATCACTCCCTCTCTCTCCACTCCTCACAGGCTTAGCCTTTCCCCCATAATCAGCAACACTCCCCAACCCCATGTAGGCAGCAGCAGACAGTAGCCCAGATCTAACTAATAGTCACATGGTCCGGGCTTCTTGACTCAAGTTATGCTTCAGTTCCAGAGCCCTAAGGTACAATGACCACCTGGCTACTTTCCATGAGGCCAAAGCCTTGGAGCTGTCCTCAAGACCTGAAGAAATAATTCATTACCCTTACCTTACTCCTGACCAATCAGGTCCCTGACCTGATTTTGTGATTTTGCCCTATACAATCTGTAACGTACATGCCATCGGGGAATTGGGTCTTTAACATTAGCTTCCTATTTCTGGACTGGCTAATTCAATATTAAACTATTTTTCTTTCTATACTGCAAAATCCTGCTTGTGCATTTCTTTGGGCCAGTGAGCACAGGCAGGCAGACTCAAGGAAAAACATCAGGATTCTAGTAACAATGTTCATCCCTAAGAGTACATCAATGTTTTGAATATACTATTCAAAAATCCTCAGAAGAGTAAATAAAATAAATGGATAGAAAACCTTTTAAAGGCCTTAGGAGAGAGGACTGAATCTTCACAATTATGAAATTATTAAAATATATAAGGGGATGAAAACATATACTGCATCTTTAAAGCTGCAGACAGTGGAACATTTGGTTTTAGCAATACACGAATTCCAAAGGACTAGGGTCTCATTCAGCCACCATTTATTTCTAGGGTTGGTAAATTCCCCTCAGGCAGTGACTTCTGTAAAAGGGGATAAAAAAGGTTTCCATTTCTTCTGAGCATTGTCAAGATCCTTTGCTGCACTCTCACATTTAACCCAGGCCATGAGAGCCGACTGTTTACTCTGAAACTGCATTTCTTTAATGCAGTTCTGGGGAGGATTGTTTCTAAAGAACTGAGTCACACTGCTCTCTACCCTTTGCCATTTACTGCAACCGAACCCTCAGCTGTGCTGTAGCACAATCTGCCAACATGAAACAGCTAACAACTAAGAGCCCCCTTTGTCTACCAGGACCCAACTGCTTTACGAATTGGAAGGGAAACCATCCAAGATTTTGAACTGAGTGGGCTGGAAGTATGCACCATTAGAGACATAAAATGTCTTACTGTGATGGTCTGCTAGAGGTGTACTGAGTTACATTCTGAGAAAACACTTGAAGCCACAGAGCTACTTCTCCTTCAAACATATTGACACCACAGGTATAAAGGAAAAAGAACACACAAAGTTAAAGAACCCACTGCACACCCAGATGCTGAGAAGTTAACCAAAACCTGGGAGAAAACTATAAACAGGAACCTGCACAGGGAATAGGATCCATGTGAATAGCTCAACTCCAAAGCTGTAAATCAAAGTCAACCACAACGATGTAACCTTCCTGGGTATCTCCTCAAACACAGTAAGTAGTTTAGACCAAAGCAACATGGGGAAGATTTTTACCCAAAGATTTCACTACCGGTAACATGCATTAGGGACACAGACACTATACTGAAGCTCTGAAATAGATTTCCTATCTTTAGCCTGCTGAGATCCTGGCTGGGATTTCATCTAAGAAGAACCTTTTAAAAAGTTTTTTTAAACTTTGAAAAAAATTCTGAATAGATAAGACAACTTAAAGTTGTTCCAGCTGCTCCTCCAATATGAAGTTAAAATTCTTAAATTTATCTTAGGGGGATTAAGAATTGTCTGGGAAATAAAAATGGGATGAAGACACTTGGTTTCCACTGATCTCGTGACCCCATTATAGAAAGTGGTTCTTAAATTACATGTAAGTATATACGAAATACATTAACATGCACACAAACACACATATATGTTGGCTATTTAACCAGGGCAGGATTGTTTTAGACTCTAAGCTTTAGCCTGTATTTATTTATGACTACATGATTTGGGGGGGTATAGCAAGGATATGCCAGAAATTCCAAAGGAAAAAAAATTTTTTAAACAGCTTTACTCTTACGGCTTCTTTTTGTGTGCTGTTTACGATGCAATAACCACAGCAAGCCCCTTCAGTGTGCACTCTGACACACCCCTGATGGGAGGAGACAGTTCTGACTCCTACCTCAGAAAAACGAAACAAAAAACTAGAACTCATTTCACGAACATCAAAGTAGCAACTGTGAGAGAGAGATTCTGATGAACTTACCGGGAGGTGTGCAGGCATCTGCAGGAGACTGAACAAACGTGGACCGCCTTTTGGTTGGCATGGGCAAAGCCATTTTCTGTTCTTTATGCTTCGCCAGAGCGGCTTGAACTGCTTCTGTGTGAATATCTAGAAGATTAAACATTTGTGTTTATCAGCTCCTGGCTCTTAGAAGTATTTTACTTCTGGGGGCTGACCTATAGCTGCCTTACTTGTTGAAAGGGGGATGTTTAGGTGATTTTTATTTATTATCTGTGTTAAAATATAAAGGCTGATGCTACTTGTTTGCCACTCGGCTACAAAAGAATCCAACCCTCCACTTGAATGTCTAATTGGGACCTCAAAATTAACATAACCAGACAGAAATCTTGATTCTCCACTCCCACCCCAAATTTGCTCTATATTTCTAAAAAATCAGATCGTACTGTAAACAGTAGTTTATATCCTTTGATTTTTCTTTAACTCTTCCACAATCCTACTGAGGTAGATAACAAGTGAAGTGACTTCCTGGTCCCAGATAATTTCCTCTTCTCAGGAAATGGGCCCAATCCACATGCAAACAAACCGTCTTTGAAGGCCTGTCTGTAGTATATAAATGTACCCCTTATGAAGAGATGGGCCAATCAAATCCTTTGGGGGAGGAGTTAAACTTGAAATCCAGAAATTGCAGGCCCTAGCTTGGAGTCACATTAATGACACTGGTTGGAAGAAAGGCCCTTGAACCTTAAGGTTGACATCCCCAAAGCCACCTCGCTCTTTCTAGGGATTTCTCATTTGCTCCTTTGTTTCTATGACCTACCCCAGATATTTAAGGTAACCTGAGTTGACCAGTTTCATTCAATAACAACAAAAAAACCTCACTAATTTAACTAGAAACATCATTCTGTGTGAATATAGACCTGTAACATAATTTTAAGGGCTGCATAGTATTTCCTTGTTGTGTGCCATAATTTGTTTAAGTAACCTTGTTTCCAAATTTTTTCTTCTATTCACAGCAACTACTCACAGGAAGAAGAATTCAGTGTTTTCACTTTAACACACATGTGTAAGTCTATTTCTGTAAAATTAATTCCAACAACTGCTGAGATGTACTGGATTTATAGCTTATATAACCACAGTACATTTATCAAAACACAAAAATTCAAAATTGATACAAACTACCATATTCTGCCATGTATAATGTGCTCCTATGTGTAATGTGGACCCACATTTTTGGCCCAAACTTTCAGGGAAATAATCCTTCATTTTAATTTTTTAATACAGTTATTTATTTATATTCAGAAACAAAACAGATGATCATAATCCAAGGCATTATTTTGCATACAGATATTGTTAATTGCTTTCTAGAGTTATGCTCTTAATGCACAGCATAAATAAAAAGCTGAAAACATTTATGTAGATAAGGAATTGGTACTACCAATGTATAATGCACACCCATACTTTTCCCTCAAAAATTTGGGCTAAAGACTCCCGGCCAAGATGTAGGTAGGTGTAGGGGAGACACACTATACCTATTTGCACAATCAAAAGAAGGACAACAACAATTTAAAAACAAAAAACAACCAAAACCGACAGAAAATTGAACTGTATGGAAGTCCAACAACTGAGGAGTTAAAGAAGACACAATGCATCCAGACCACAGGAGGGGCAAGAGAGGGTTCGCTGGCAAAGCAGCCACTGGCAGACTCCGGGCACAGGGTGGCAGTGGGAAAACCCAGCGAGGCGGTAGATGATGGAACAGGGAGTGGCACATAGGGCGGCAGGCGGAACTGGGTGGTCACACATTTGCGTGCAGATAAACCAGGTGAAACTGGGGATTCGGTTGAACCATACAACCCAGGGCCTCAGCACTGGGAAATAAAGCCTAAAAGCACTGACTGAAAACACCTGTGGGGGTTGAGGTGCCAGGAGAAACTCAGCCTCACAGGAGAGTTTGCTGTAGAGACCCACAGGGTCCTAGAACGTACACAAGCCTACCCACTTGGGAACCAGCACCAGAAAGGTCAAATTTGCTTGAGGGAAGCGAGGGAAGTGACCAAAATCCGGCAGAGAGCAGAACAAGAGCCATTGTTCCCTCTCTGATCCCTCCCCAACATACAGGGTCACAACACAGCCAAGTGGGTTGCTCCGCCCTAAGGCGGATGCACACCTTTAGGATGAACACCTAAGGCTCCTCCCCTCACTACATAACAGGTGAGTCCAGACGCACCCCCCAAAAAATTGCCCAAATGGAAGAACAGATCAAAGCCCCAGAGCTAACGCTTTTAAGTGACCAAGAGATAGTCAACCTATCAGATGCACAGTTCAAAGCACTGGTAATCAGGGTACTCAGAGAATTGGTTGAATTTGCTCCCAAATTAGATGAAAAAATGAAGGCTACAATAAGTAAAATGAAGGAAAATGTACAGAAAACCAACAGTGATGGGAAGGAAACTGGGACTCAGATCAATGGAGTGGACCAGAAGGAAGAAAAAATGACCAAACAGAAAAGGAATGAAGAAACAAGAATTCAAAAAAAATGAGGAAAGGCTTAGGAACCTCCAGGACATCTTTAAACATTCCAACATTTGAATTAGAGGGGTACCAGAAGGGGAAGAGGAACAGCAACAAATGGAAAACTTATTTGAAAACATAATGAAGGAGAACCTCCCCAGTCTGGCAAAGGAAACAAGACTTCCAGGAAATCCAGGAAGTTCAGAGAGTCCCAAAGAAGTTGGACCCAAGGAGGAACACTCCAAGACACATCATAATTACATCAGCCAAGATTAAAATGAATCTTGGAGAGAATCTTAAAAGCAGCAAGAGATAAGGAGACAGTTACCTACAAAGGAGTTCCCATCAGACTGTCAGCTGATTTCTCAAAAGAGACCTTACAGGTAAGAAGGAGCTGGAAAGAAGTATCCCAAGTCATGAAAGGCAAGGACCTACATCCAAGGTTGCTCTATCCAGCAAAGCTATCATTTAGAATGGAAGGGCAGATAAAGTGCTTCTCAGATAAGGTCAAGTTCAAGGAGTTCATCATCACCAAGCCTTTATTTTATGAAATGTTAAAGGGACTTGTCTAAGAAAAAGAAGATAAAAAACATGTATAGTAAAATGACAGCAAACTCACAATTATTAACAACCATACCTAAAACAAAAACAAAAACAAAGGAAACAACTAGAACAGGAACAGAACCACAGAGATGGAAGTCACACGGAGGGTTAGCAACAGGGGAGTGGGAGGAGGAGGAGAGAGGGGGAGAAGGTACAGAGAATAAGTAGCATAGACGATAGGGAGAAAATAGACAGGGGGAGGGGGCAGGAATACTATGGGAAATGTAGAAGCCAAAGAACTTATGACACAGGGACATGAACTAAAGCAGGGGAATGTGGGTGGAAGGGGGTGTGCAGGGTAGAGGGGAGTGAAGGAGAGAAAACAGGACAACTATAATAGCATAATCAATAAAATGTTTTAAAAATTTGGGGCTAAAACCTGCACATTATACATGGCAAAATATCATGTCATCTAATCCACAACCCACATTCCAAGTTAGCCAAATGTCCCGATAATGTCCTTCAGAGGTTTTCCTGCCCTGTTTCCTGATCTAGGACCCAATACAGCATTACACATTACATTTAATTGCCATGTCTCTTTAGCATCCTATAACCAGGAATAGTTACTCAACCTTTGTCTCTCATTGCACTGACACTTTGTACAGATGAGTTACATTAGAGACTGTCCCTTAATATTGGTTTTGTTAATACTTCTTCATAATTAGATTCAGGTTATAGATTTTAGTAGAATACCATCAAAGTAATGTCTTCTTGAAACATGATGATGTCAGGATGCATCTGCCTTATTATTGGTGAGAGTAATTTTAATTATTGTATACTTGATTAAGATGGTATCTGCTAAGTTAATCCACTGTAAAGATACTATTCTTCTCTTGGTGTAATTAATTAATTGGTGAATACTTTTACACTATGTAAATGTTATATACTTCATTAAACTCCCATCCACTAATTTCAGCATCCACTGATGATTCTTGGCTGAATCAATTATTTCCATAATGGTTACAAAATGGCGGTTTTATAACTTCATCATTTCTTTTGTGTTTATTAGTTGGTGGTATTCTAAGAAAAAGCTATAGACCGCATATACTACAGTGGTCCCTTAATATTATAATGGAAATGAAAAATTCCTCTCACCTAGCATCATAACGCAGCACATTACATATGTTTGTGGTGATGCTGGTGTAAACAAACCTACTGTACTATCAATCACATAAAAGTACAGCACATACTATAATGTATGGTATGTATTTGATAATGGTAATAAATGACTATGTTACTGTTTATGTATTTACTGTATTTTTATCATTATTTTAGAGTTTACTATTTCTACTTATATAAAAAGAGTTTAGTGTAAAACAGTATGCCACGTTACGCCAAGAGCAGCCTCACACATCTCCTGTTTAATGTCTTTGATTGTGTTCTTTTCTCTCGTGCTTGATTTAATCTCATGTTGTTCTGTAACATGCTATGCATGTTGTAGCCCAGGAGCAATAGGCTGGACCATATATAGCCGGGTATGTAATAAGCTATACCATCCAGGTTTCTCTAAGTGCACACTGACGTTCGCACAGTGACAAAATTGCCTAACAAGCTTCCTCCGAACACAACCCTGCTATTAAATGGTGCGTGACTGTACACAGGGTCCGGCGGAAGTAATGCCTGCTTGGGTGTGGTTGGTTGGGTAATAATATGGATGTAAAAATTTATAGTTTTAATTTTAATATTTCACGTAAAATATCATATAGGATGCTTGACTGTAGTAATGTTATGTTACAGAATTACATGCTTATGATTTTATAATAAAAGATTTTGCATCCTGGCTGGTGTGGCTCAGTGAACTGAGTGCTGGCCTGAGAACCAAAGGGTCACCAGTTCAATTCCCAGTCAAGGGCACATGCCTAGGTTGTGGGCCAGGTCCCCAGTTTGGGGTGTGTGAGAGGCAACCACACATTGGTGTTTCTCTCCCTCTCTCCCTTCCTTCCCCTCCCTCTAGAAATAAATAAATAAAATCTTCTTTAAAAAAGAGAGATTAGCCCTAGCTGGTGTGGCTCAGTGGATTGAGCACTAGCCTG